TGGGGTGTATATATTTACTTTTTGGGTCTTCCGCCAACTATTGGAGCTGAGGGATGTAAGCCAACTAAGCTTGTTGGGGTGTAAGCACGAATGCAGAGCTTATTGTCTATGATAGCGGAAGAGACAGACATCGTAAAGCGGAAGAGACGGCAATGCGATATCAGAGAGATTGAAGTCTTGTAGAAGAGACATTGTGAGTCTATGGTAGCCCACTTCCCTACTGATAATCCCAGGACTTGATCCTTTGACGTCAACGCAAAGTGGAAGAGACGGACGTCGTGAGAGATTGAAGTCTTGCAGATGAACTTTCATGGAATTTTTTCATGCGGTATCAGAGAGCGAGAAAATCTGGTGAAACCAACGGCTTCTCCAGAGCTGTGCTCTCCGTGCCGGAAGCGACAGAAACCGGGCTGAGCGGGCTGAGCCCATTACTAGTTTGTTCTCTGCCCGTGAATGGCTGACTTTCTTCTCTGCCCATGAATCCAAGGCAAGAACTGCTGCGTTTCCCGGCAAATCCCACTTACCCACTGGCTCTTTATCTTCCACCAAATCCACCATGCTCTGACCTTGGGCGAGGTGTAGAATGAACAACCACTCCAGAACAAAGAGGCATGAATTTCTTTTTCAAGCAAAACTTTGAAAAAATCGGAAAAAGGGGGTTTTTATCAGTTGGGTTTTATTTTGGAAATTTGATAAATAATGAAAGGTAAATATAACTTTTCATTTTCTTTATTAGCACTTAATGATAATGTCAATTGTCAGAAAACTTAAGAATAGGATAAGACGATATCTAAACAATAAGAATACAGTTTGTCAATTTCGTTAACAGTAAAAAAGGTTTAAGATATATATTGTCCCATAATCTTCTTTGCTTTCATAGTTCTAAGGAACCAAAGTAATAAGTATCTCCAGAACATTTATCTGTTTTTCATCTTTGTATACTAATTAGCTTTACCATGGCCTTATAAATTGGCCTTTTTTGTCATCTTTGAAAGGTTCGGGCATGAATAATGAAGAAAAAGGCTATGTTAACATCTTTTTCTTTTCCCTCAAGCAACGTCTGTTGTTTGTACTTGCCAGATGTCTCAAATGAGCGATGAGGTGCAGCATCCATAAACTCTTCCAGGTCTTGGTTTCCATCTGCCAACTGTTATTTAGTCATTACTTTGTTGATGGTTCGTTTCAGTAGAGGCTTTTTTCGGCTTATCAGTATGTTTAACATCCAAAATTCCTTTCGTTTCAGGTCCACCTCCTCAGGGGATTATTTCAGTCCGGCTCAAACCTTATAATTGAGCTCAAAACCCAGAATTTCTAAAAACTCCTTGCCTAGCCAATCTATGAGTGAAGGAATTAGCATTTCTTTTAACCCAAGTACATAGGACTTTCGTATCCTTAATCAGCCGCTTGAATTTTCTTTTCTCATTACTGTAGCTCCACATCTTGGAAGTGTCTTCTTTCAGCCAATCCACAACAACCGCAGAATCTCCTTTTATAATCAGTTTCTTAACTTTAATTTCTTTGGCCCTTTGCACCCCTTCCAACATTGCTAACACCTCAGCCTTCAAGGAGTCTTCCACTCCAATTGGACTAGAGAACAAAGCTATTACATTACCTCTCTCATCCCTTAGGACCCCCCTAATACCCGAGGCCCTGAATTCCCCATGCTATTGCCATAAAAATTTAGTTTGATAAACCCAGGAGGTGGAGGGTTCCACATGAGATTCAAAATCTTCTTCCTTGTAATTGAGCTAGCAACTTCTTTTCACTTTCTTAGCAAATTGTTTGTTGAAAAATCTGTAAACTCTTTCATTGTCTTCGACCAGTGTATTATTCTTATATGAATCAATTCTACCATATTTTCCAAGCCTCTCTCCTTTTCCGAGAAGATCCTTGCATTTATTTTCTCCTATAATATCCAACAAACAGCAGTTCTCACACATTTTCACATTATTCTTTATCTTTTTGTTGAACATTCAATAGTTGAAAAGGAAAACAAGCTTTGCAGTTTAATTGGAGGTGTTTGCATACACCTAAATAAAGAAGCAAACCAATCTCAAATATTTTTTGCCAAAACATAAGATATTAATTATTAAGTGATACCCAGACTCGCTAGCAAACCGAATAATGTCATGTATCTACAATTCCAATCATTTGGGTATATTGGAAACCAAATATTTAAGCTGTTGTACATTTGATGTATAGCCTCATCTTGGGTTTTATCAGAATGACAACAAGAGACTGATGGATGTTGGGTGAAGATTGGTTGGTTATCAGTAGATTCAAGAGCGGGAGGAATGATCTACCAAAGGAATAGTCTGATTCACTAGATGAAGTATGATATTATAATGCTTCTGGTAGGAAGAGGAATGGTGTTCTGGTCGGATATGGCATTCGAGCGAAATGGCATAAAAGGATTCATGTAGTCAATCATGGGAATTATGCATTTTAACTCGGGTTGTAAATTTTTCTTAAATACAACAGGAAGCTTGATCTGCATGTACATCAATCTTGACAGTCAAGTCAAGGCTTCTCTATGTTGTGTATGTGTGTAGGTGTGTGTCCAATCCGAGAATCCAACCTGATAACAGCCCTAGATGTACCCTCAAGTAAGCAGTATCTATACTACAACCAGTCCATGTCTCCCTAGTTCAACAATCAACAGTTCTCCACTCTTCCTTTCGATACAGTAAAAAGTGTGGTATCTCGTGAAACTTTTTACCAAGGTTATGAAAATGGGACAGTTGGACTGGTTGAACAGAAATTGTTCAAGCAACTGGTTCCATTTCACCTTAAAATTATTTTTTAACCAAAAACTATTGATTTTGTTAATGATTCACTGACTCAGGTGGTCAAATCTGACTTGTCAACCCATATAATGGTTTTTAGTCGTTTTTTATTTTAATTATTTTATTATTTTTTAGATCGAAACAGCCTATCTATTTGAACCAGATGGTTGAACCACAAAGTGTTTCCGGTTCTTGATTGGTTTTTAAAACATTGCTTTTTTATATTCCAGGCGTAGGAACTCAATAACCCACATCATCATGGTTAATAGATCTAGAATTAATAAATATAAATATATTAATTACTTGAAACTTCTTTTCATTGAATGAAGTTTCTGTTTTCTGTTGTGCACTTGTGCCCCCTCTAAAATATAAATAATAATAATAATAATAATAATACCTTGCCTTGTTCAAATCAGCTTGTGTCCCCCTCCCCAAGACAGTGTCCCACAAAGTCCCACAGGACATCGTCCCAAACATCTTCCCATGGTTGGATGCTATTTCATGTTGTCAATAGACGGCGGGAATATGCTGTAACCTGTAGGACGTTGTGGGGCGCCGTATTGGGGGGCTGATTTGATCTCTGCCTTGCCTCGCTCCTCGGGCGATCCATAGGAATTTCACACATGTTTCCCTTTGTTTTGACTTTTGAGTATTCACCAATTTTTGTATCTTCCCTTGGATTAGTTTCTTTAGGTGGGTAGTGGGTTCAAAACCAATGGCTCCTTAGCTCTTCGTTAATGAGAAAAATAGAGTCAAATTAATGGGGCTAATTAATACACTTATCCTTGTTACGTTACAGTACACCATCTGACCATCATAGTATCACTTCCCTGGGTCTTAATATTCAATGCTTCTCTTTGTATCACAGCAAGTGAATAGTTACCTAATTTTCCGGCGTTCGTCCACGCAGGCCTCAGAAGTTCTAAGTCTAAACCAGAAGTGTCTCGGCAGCTACTTATCCACGTCCGCAACAAAAGTCAAACGGAGTTTCTATTCACGAAATAGTGCACGGTGCATACCAGTCACTCACCGTAACGGAAAAGGAAGAGTAACGTTCTTAAAACTGTGTTTAGGCCATACCAGTTGTGCTTGTAATTGTACAAGTCCCTGAAAAAGAAAAAAGCAAAATCAGAAAACAGATTTTAGAGAAGAAAGTCACTAGATTGACAGGTCATTGGGCACCGTGAACCGCGCGCAATCCATGCTCTTAAGTAAAGGGGTCTGGTACTCTGGTTCCTTCGTCCCATCCCCATCCCGTATTAATGATTCCAGACCTTGTCTCCCTCCGGGAAATGTCGTTTTTTCAGTTACCCTCAAAGAGCCCGACTTCCTATCGCCTCATTAACCTCCTCCTGATTTCCTCTTGTCTCTGTATCATCTACCTCTTTGTATCCATCTCCCTCGTCCGTCCTTCTACCCTCAGTCATGTATGGGTTCCGTCGCTCTACGTCTCGCCGCCCACCACTCTGGACCATTTAGTGTTCGGCATTGCTTCCACTGCTCAATCCTGGCCCAATCGGAAGGAATATGTAAGGCTCTGGTGGAAACCGCAATCCATGAGAGGTTGTGTATTTGTTGACAGCATGCCACCGACGACTGTGGACAAGCATAACGATAGTAGCACCCTTCCTCCCATTTGCATCTCCGAGGACACATCCCATTTTCGTTACACTTACAGGGGTGGTCTCCGATCGGCAATTCGTGTGGCCCGAGCTGTGTCAGAAACTGTTTCTCTCAACCACACAGGAGTCCGATGGTTTGTTTTCGGGGATGATGATACAGTGTTCTTCCCAGAGAATTTGGTTAAGACACTTTCAAAGTACGACCATAATCTGTGGTACTACATCGGGACCAACTCAGAGAGCTCCAAGCAGAATTCCTTGTTTTCCTTTGAAATGGCATTCGGAGGAGGTGGTTTCGCCATAAGCTATCCGCTCGCCAGAGTTCTGGCAAAGGTTTTCGACTCATGTCTGGTGCGGTATCCACATCTTTATGGAAGTGATGCTAGGATTTTCTCTTGCTTGGCAGAGCTGGGAGTTGGGCTGACGCATGAGCCAGGGTTTCATCAGGTACCTTTCCCTCTCTGATGGTGATAGCTAAATTCTCACATTGGGGTTGCAACTTAAACTATTATTAAGATCAGAGGCTGAGTCTAATCCAACTCCTTAATTTTTCTTTTGTGCCTGTCTGTGTCTATTCCTCTTGGTAGGTAGATTTCAGGGGAGATGCTTTCGGATTGCTGGCTGCTCACCCATTAAGACCGCTGGTATCACTTCATCACTTAAATTACATAGATCCAATCTTCCCCAACATGAACAGTAAGCAAGCTTTAGAACATCTACTTGAAGCTGTGAAGTTCGATCCTGCAAGGATCTTGCAACAAACAGTTTGCTACGACCGTTGGTTTTCATGGACAATTTCTGTCTCGTGGGGTTATGCTGTTCAGTTATTTGAACGCGATATACTTCTTCCCGACGTTCTTCCTGTGCAACATACATTTACAGTGTGGAATAAAAGAGAAACCATTACGCCCAGTCCTTATATGTTTGATACAAGGGAGCTTCCTGAAGACCCATGTAGAAGGCCCACTCTTTTCTTCTTAGAAAGCTTGTCTTCTAATGGACAAGTAATACGGAGCAATTACAGGAGAAGTATTTCTGACAAGTGCTTAGAAAGCAAGGGAGCCTCGAAGAAACTGGAAAAGATAAGAGTCTTCTCAAAAAAGCTAAAGCTTGACATCAGACAGGTAATTGATATATAGATTTTGAATTGCCTCATCAAGGTCTCATAATTCACTCGCGAATCCCAGGGATTATTTACTGATTTCTGGTTTGCTCAAGTTCTGTTAATGCAGTTAGTAATAATGTAACGTAATTTTCTTCCTGCTGGTTATTCAGTTGCAGGCCCCAAGACGGCATTGTTGCGACATATTACCTTCTTCAGTCGGTGAAGTATTAGAAATTGGCATTAGGGAATGTGGGGAAGAAGAAATGATCTTCATGCACGCATAGAATTTCCTAGGAAATTACTGCCCATCCTTGGAAATCTAATCAGTGGAAGCTGGGAATCAGAGTCCCATTGTAAGGTAAGAAGGATTGACATAACTTTAGGCTGAGATTGAACTTCTCCTTGACCATGCCGAGTAAAACAGTCATATGTTCACGCTCGTAAGTAGAAATTTGTGGGTGTTTTTATAATTCCAACAACTATAAGCACGGCCAGCACTTGTGTACACATGCCTGCTACGAGAGTACGCATGTTGCTCTGGTCAATGGTTCATACTTCATGGGATTTGGATCCTTCCCGCTCTCTATGTAGGCCAAAATATATACCAGAAACTGAAGCTTGGACATGAATTTATCGCTTTCAAAGATACCTTAGTGCACTGGACGAAATGGGCTTGCAGTTTTGCTTAAGAAATGAGATGACAGACCAGTTGATTTTATTCCTCATGTAGCATGTGGATGACTTGAATATGAACATTGGAAGATGTACTTTATTCGATGTCTTAAATTTTGATTTTAGTTATGTTTCTTCCCTTAATTCCAGCTAATAATCCGGGATGGTAAGTTAATCAACCTAGTCCAACAATCAATGTCTCCCAATAAAACCACGACATGTGGTTAAGACTTGAGGAATACTTCATAAAAACGTAGAGGAGGAGCTTAGAGGGCTGCAGAATATTTCTGCTCGATTAGAGTTCGTCTGAAGCAATTTGAAACTTTTGTCTTCTCAGTTGTCATAAATTCCTAAGTTCCAGTTCTAGAGTTTCAGATTCCAAGTAATATAATTAGTTAATTACCCAAATAAAATAAAATAAAAAAGAGTAAATTAGAAGGCCTCTTGTACCATGTACTATGGGTCGGTGATAAAGACCCGCTGTAGGCTGTACTTTAATTTGCATCAAACACCTCCTAAATTTTTAGCATGCAAAGAATACCCCTTAACCGTTAAATTAAATTAGATGATAGAATGCATTAAATAATCAAAATGCCAACTGAACATTTTTATTTTCTTTTTGGTTGCCCATTCCTTTTCCTTCATAAAAGTTGACTTGAAAGAAGCATAGCTCAAGGAACCACAAAATAAATGAGAGAGGTAACATAGAAAAGAAATTTAATCAATTTGAAATTATTACATGCTATGAAGCCTGAAGCGTTGTAACTTTTAGATAAACTTCCATGAATTCGACCATTGTTTAAAATTTTCAAAGTGCTTCCATAATATATTTACCATCAGTACAGTTGTGCTTCATCTGCCAAGTCAAGCAAACAAGTCGAACTCCAAATGCCCATTCTAATATTAGAAATAACAAAACAAAAACCAAAAAGAAAGGGACAAAACCATCGAGAATTGAACTATTGTCTACAAGCCTGCAAAGAGAGAGAGAGAGAGGTAATCAATCATTGCTGTGGTCATGGGTATCCTACCATTCCATGACGATCTGATTGGAGATGTCTTTTCACCGTTCAAATGAATAAAATAGGGATAATTTGGAAATTTAAAAAAAAATTAAATAGTTGAATGAAATGGGGGATTTTGAATCTTGCACGTTATTTAATATTTTAATTTAGATCACATAATCAAATGTGGTGCCCCTCTTAAGTAGAAGAAATGATGTCGTAGGATACTTTTGAAAACACCTCTAATGAGACATAAGGGCAAGGGTTTAAAATCACTGTTTTATGAGTCAGACCGGATGGTCAGATCGGTCAACTCGTGAATGGAAGGAATTCTAGTTTTTAAAAGGGAAATCCCAGTTTTCATTTTTCTGAAAAACCGGTAGAAAACCAGATGGATTCCACAACCTGTCTGAGTTACGAAATGGTTATTAGTTTTAAAATGGTGATAGAGAGATTTGAACCTGAGTTTTCTTAATTACATTACATATATTAGCATTAAACCATCAACTTATTTTGTTTTCTATACATACCTTTGCCTCTTTTAATACATATACTAATTAAATAAGTGTATATTCTGAAAAATTACAGAAGCTAAAAAGATTTGAACCGCAGTCATCTATCTCAAAGAACAATGCTTTGAACATCTAGTTACTACCTTATTCTTATTTACAAAATCTATTATATATGGTTGTTATGTGACTTGCGATCAAACTGTTTGACTTGTGACCCGGTACGCATTTTGGTTTTGTTTCCGGTACAAGTCTTAAAACACTGGTGTGAATCCTCACTCAATCATTTTTACTATTTATATAATTTCTTTTATAATATATATAGAGGTTTATAATTGGGTATTGGGAGTGGATACCCATGTTAATATATATATATATATATATATATATACACTGGCAAGGATTTGTAAGATGTACGATTTTGTTAAGTAAAAGTTAAACAATAGAAACAGATAAGAGTAGAGAATTGTTTTATATGATAACTTTTTAAATAATTAATAATTATTTATATTTTATGTACTATTTTTAATAATACAAAAAAAATAATAATTAATTTCAGCTAGGGCTATGCATAAAAGTGGTGAAACCAACCAAACCGATCCAATTCGACCCGATCGAGTTGGTCAGTTTTCTAGTATTTCCAGTTGCCTTCGGTTAAGTAATTTCCCCAACCTAATTAGGTTGGGTCAATTTCGGTTTGGCCATTTGTAAATCGACCAAAATCGAACTAACCCTACTATAGATATATATATTAATATTTCATATTTTAGATATATTTTTAATACAAGAATGTGGGAAAATTCCCATATTTATTAGTCTAAAATATTTCATATTGTAAATTTAAATTTATTTATTTTTTAATAATACCACTATAGTTTTTTTAATTTAAATTTAACTTTTGAGTTCAAATCTTTTGAATCGATCGACCAAACCAAAAATCGACCCAAACTGTTACAACCCAAGTTGGTCGGTTTTCACTAATAGTCGGTTAGTTTCGGGTGGCCAACTCCCCAACCCGACCAAGTCGGTTTAGTTGGCCAAACAATCTACAACCGAAATGAGTTGACCCCTAAACACTCCCAATGTCAACTAAATTAATAGTTTAATCTCTAATAAATAACAATAGTTTAAATATTTTGTTATATAATTATTTATCTATTTTAACATTTTGTTATTTAAAATATTTAGTTATTAAAATATTTAAATTTTTATTATTTAAATAAAATTTAAGTAATTTTATTATTAAAATTTTTAATCCATAAAATTATAATTTATATTGTTAATACGTAATTTCATTATGAATTTCATAAAAATATAAAATTATTAAATCTATTATAATTATTTTTTATGTTTTTAATAAGTATTTTAAAGTTATTGCATAATTTTGTTATAATATGTAAATAATTATTAAATTTTTAATTCAAATTGTCTTTAGATAGATATAGATGAAAAGTGGAGGAGAGGATAAATAGGAAATAGAGATAATTTAGGAGAGATAGTCTTTCCTGAAATAGAGATAATTTAGGAGATAAATAGGCATTAGAGATAATCAAAGATAGTTTAGGAGAAAATAGGGGATAGTGGTGCCATGTGGCTAGATTGGGCATGTAATATAGACTAACATGTGTTTTGGGAGGAATTTTAGGTGGGAGAGATAGTTTAAGGGAAATTTCAAGAGGGAGGTTGGCTAAATGATTAGGAGAGGGCTGCCACATTGTTACATAGAAGGGCTGGGAAGGGATAAAGGGGGGGAGAGAGAGAGAGAGAGAGAGAGAGTTAAGGAGAAGCTAGGATTGGGGTAATGGAGCAAGGAGAGGGCTTTTGATGTGGCCTACGTCTCTGTATAATATAGTATAGTAGTGGAAACCATGTCATGCACATGCTTTGTTAAAATAATTTGAGGCAAAAGGAGCTAGGGGTGCAAGTTGGGTGGGCCTAACCTGAGTCTAACCTAGTTCAATCAAAGCTTTTGCACAAATTGGGCTTTAGTTTTCGAACTTCAAGCTGGGCTTAGGCCTAAAAACTCAAACCAAACCTAAACTTAGGTTAGGCTTTGGGCTAAAGCCTTGGATAGTTTGAACTCGACCATTCAAGTTTGAGTTCGCTCAACATTTTATGATAAACATATCTACATATTATCAATATATTCTACTTGAAAATTGGGCTACAAAGCTCAACATGCCCAAGTCAAAGCCCAGTCCAAGATGTTGGGCTCAAGTTGGGCCTAGGTTAGTAAATTATTAGTAACTATTGAAAATTATTAGTAATTTTTCATTTACCATCCTAGCCCTAATTCAAGCTTAACCCAACATCTTGGATTGGGTTATTTTAATATAAATAGTATTTATTTTAATATAATGTGGAAGCCACGCCACTTTTGGTTGAATGGATTGGGTACAATGTGGAAGCCCGACCCATCCCCTAGCCATTACTATCATCTTCTTCACTCGTTTTGTATCTACAACCTCCCCTTAGATTTCCTATAAATACTAATACCTCTCTAATTTCTCAAAGGATTTAAACCTCCCTTATTGGATGATCTTAGTGGAATGTGATGTTATGTGCATCTAAACTTGTTTCAAAAACTCAACTATGCTCTTTAGGCTCCATTTGGAAGGAGTACAAATACAAATACAAATACGCAGAGAGTGCAAAACCTTATATTATATATTATTTTATATGTATTTATACTGTACATATTTGTATTTATACTCCTTCTAAACTGAGCCTTTATTTTGAAACTACCATTAACTCAAAACTTATAAACTGAAACCCATAACATTGTTGGAAGAATAAAACAATAATATATAAATAAATAAATAAAAGATTTGGTCCTCCTTGAGAACCCAAAATAAGGAATACTTTAAAGTGACTCTTACTTGTGTTCACGGAACTACATTTGCTGGGAGCAGATCCAAAGATGTTGCTTTCCAGTTAGTGTGCTTCGGTAGAAAGATAGAAGGGAGGAAAGAAAAATCAAAAACCATGGACAAAGTTTCAGTAGAAGGAATGTAGAAGAACCCTGAAAAATAGGGAGTTTAAAGTGATGCTTACCTATGTTCACCACATTCACTGGGAACCAATTCATAGAAAAATGTCTCCTTGCTTTCTCTCACTTCTAGTAGAAGGGTAGAAAGTAAAACTTGCTCTCCTTTAGTTTTTGTAAAATGATATCAGACGGAAAGAAATTCTGTGTATTGTTTCATTTCTTATACATGTATTTATAGATATAGATGGTAAATAAGTGCGAAGAGAGTTTGTTACAGAGTATAATTCTTGTAAGTGGGCCACGTGGCCCAAGATTCTTACTCTAAAACCTCTTCAAGTTGGTGCGTAAGAAAGGACTGAGATGTCCAACTTGGACAAGAGTGTGAAATTTCTCAGCTGGGAAAGCCTTTGTTAGGAGATCAGCTGACTGATTGATACTAGGCAAATGGTGGGTCTGCAAAGCACCACTTTAATCTTGTTCACGGACGGACAAATTGACAATCAATGTCTATATGCTTATTCCACTAAAGAAAGACTGGATTGGCAGCAATGTGTATAGTTGCTTTACTGTTACAGTGC